CATTCTTTCAGATCTTGAATTCTTCAATAAGATTCTCCCGGTCCTTCTCTTCTACCATGTGAATTTTCCCAGGAAAGCGTCTCCTTGTCATTCATTGGCCTAAATCCCAGCTATCAACTTGGGATTTGATAAATTGATTGTACCCATTCTTTTGGATGCTTTCTGGACTGAAGAAATGTGTGGACTTACTCAGAAGAGTCTTGTTCCATGTCAGTTCATAATAAAATATAGTACAATTATGATGATCCATTAAGGTTTTTTAACATAATTTTGAATCACTATACTCTGTACCTATTCCCAACCTCTTGGAGTTCAACTGGGACAGTTTTGTACACTTATCAAATAATCCAAATGCGCTGTTGGAACCTTACCAATGAGCTTCCTTCTTCAGTGCATTATAGAACATGTTCTTGTCGATCAAACTGGATCAATTTTAATACTAGCGTGATTGTGCATCTGACAGCATTGATTGAATCAGACTGATACACATTCATGCTTTTTTAAAGAAAAATCTGCCGGCCTTCTGCCACTTAGCAGGAACTGTGCTTTTCTCATTTGATGAGGTAATGGGGAAATCGAACATTCTGCTGCATTGAACATAAATATTTTTCTTGGTGCCTCAAGAAAAAGTGAAAGATAATAAAAATATTGGAGCTCAGAGCTGTAGGCCACAAATGGTTGAGTTATTGCAATCCAGACAGGATAGTGGTGGCTTTCAGCAGGCAGTATAGGCTGAGACTAAATGGACTGAATTATTCCTATTCCCTTGTTATGAGATGTACTGTGATTTATTTTTACGGGTGAATGTCATTGGAATTCAGTGCAGGGATGCCACCCACACACTCGTACACTACCTACCTTACAGCCAGCCCAGTTTGTATAAAAATGAGGTGGGAGTTAGCACAGTGTAGTGTGCCTGAGCTCAATTTTTTATAGTCAACAGCAAGTGAATAAATGTCGGTCTGGTTACTGTCTGCACTGGTATTTGTTTCCTTTCTCGATAGTGTTTGTGTGCCTTAGTAGAGTAACGGGGGCAGGCAGCTTTAGCATAGGGTGCGCTCATCAGGTCTCCCTGACGTCTCCAAACACAGCTGTACAAACAGATTAGGATTTGAGTAGGAAGTGGCGCCAATGTGAAGGGGCCGGGAGCAAGAGTTAGAATGGCACAACTTGGCACAGGCAATTCCTGACGGGGAGATAAGTGTCTCGAAATATCAAAATAAAAAAGGTAGATCTAACATCTGATTGATTGAACAAAATATCTGTTCAATTTGCAATATGAATGGTTAATCCTTCATGGTTTGTGGTTTTATACAATTAGGTAAAATGTAGAACTGAGGGCTGTTATAAACTTCATGTACCCTAATGTATATAGACTACATAGCGATTCTCTGTATTGATGGTTTTCTAGCTGCTGTTAAATGCCAATTGGCATCACCATTTTATATAAAAATGTACTAATTTCAGGGTACAAAAGTGCAGAAGATCTTTAATGTACAAAACCATCAATTTAAGTTCTTAAGTGTAGGCTTTCCAATGGTAAAAATCTGTAATGGAAGGAAGGGGAATAATTTTAGTTGCATAAAATTATATAAAAAGCAACAAAATAACACAGCATTGACTATTTTAGAACTAGTTGGCTAAACTCTGATGACCAACTAGGGAATCAAATGTCAGCAGGAAAGCAACTCGTGAGCATCTGTAAAAGTCAATTTTTGTTGCTTTTAGTTTTTGTTTTTACATATCTAACCAGTTATCTCCAAGTTCAAATTCACTTTGCCAAGTTAATTATTGCTTGTAAAATTCTCATCTGATCAGAACATTTATCAGTCATTTTGCTGGCCTCAATTAAAGTAATTTAGTCAGGAAGGTTAAATGTAGTCCCATTTGAGTTGAGAATGCTGACATTTTTCATCAGTCTAAATGTGTTAGAAGTGTGCAGGGAATCAGGTGCCTAAAGTTTTGGGGAAAATGTCAAGTCTTTGCAGGAATCTGGGGGAAAATGTTAAGTAAAGGGTACTTCATGAGCAGGAAGCATGGATAGTAGGATTCAGACCTTGCAAACTCTGACCATTTCTTCCCAGCCAGTCACATTTGCATCATTGATAATAATAATAGTTATCCTTGCATTTGATATAGCGCCTTATTATGTCTTCAAAATGTCTCAAAGCGCTTCACAGAATACACTATAAAGTGAATTGACTGTATATTTTGTGGGTGAAACGCGGTAGCCAATTGCACATAGCAGTGTCCCCCAAACAGTCGTGACCAATTTATTATTGTTACTTTTTTAAGGAATTACTACCCCTGGAAATCCAACAACTGACTAACAACCGGGTTCCTACTTACTGCTAGGTAAACAGGCAAGTTTCCTTGCTCCATACGCCTCTAACATTTCGCCCTGCCGGGAATCGAAACCAGATGTCTCGCTTGCGAGGCGAGTGCTTCAACCACTGAACTACTGGACTCCTGTATTGATGGAGGTTGGATGTTTTGTCCAATTGTTACAGTAGTGATGCTGCTGCAGTAGACATTTTTAAGGTCACCGATTTAAGGTCAACTGGTTGTGGTGGTGCTTTATTTAACTTCAATTGAATGGGGAGAAAGCTGGAAGAAGCTTTTTGAGGTAACTTAGTGAGTTGGCCTACAATTATGGATTTTGTATGGGATGCGGATGGAACGTGCAGCTTTCAAGAGGGAAGTAGTCAGGCGTATGGGGGGGAAAAAAGGGGCTTGAAAGGGTATGGGCATAAGACAGAGTGGTGGGAAGCCATCTATTTCGTTTCTGTGTGAGCTGGTTGGGCCAAGAAACCTCCTTCTAAACTGTAAATTTCTAGGTTTCTCTTTTCTTAGCCTGTTCTAAATAGACATGTAGTGACATCTCAACAAAGCAGCTCATTTTCTTCATATTTCATGATTTTTATTTAACTGATTTGAAGTGTACAGATTTTGAGGTTGCTATACTTCCTTAAAAAGTATCACAGGTTTGCTGATGCCACATTGCTGTTTGTCAACCTGATGAAATAAATAGCTGTGCACCTTTTACTCCATGCTACTGGTGGTGTGTAAAAAAAAATTGCCTTTGCTACTTTTAATTTTGTCAGTATAAGACTTACTCCCTCTCTCTCTCGGGCGCTCTCGCCCCCTCCCTCGGGCGCGCTCTCGCCCCCTCCCTCGGGCGCGCTCTCGCCCCCTCCCTCGGGCGCGCTCTCGCCCCCTCCCTCGGGCGCGCTCTCGCCCCCTCCCTCGGGCGCGCTCTCGCCCCCTCCCTCGGGCGCGCGCGCGCCCCCTCCCTCGGGCGCGCGCGCGCCCCCTCCCTCGGGCGGGCGCGCGCCCCTCCCTCGGGCGCGCGCGCCCCCCCCCGGGCGCGCGCGCGCCCCTCCCTCGGGCGCGCGCGCGCCCCTCCCTCGGGCGCGCGCGCGCCCCCTCCCTCGGGCGCGCGCGCGCCCCCTCCTCGGGCGCGCGCGCGCCCCCTCCCTCGGCGCGCGCGCGCCCCCTCCCTCGGGCGCGCGCGCGCCCCCCCCCGCGCGCGCGCCCCCTCCCTCGGGCGCGCGCGCGCCCCCTCCCTCGGGCGGAGTACAATAAATAAATAAGTACAATAAAACTGAAATCTACATTCCATATTGGATTCTTTGGTTGTAAGTGTAGCTGCAACAGGTACAGGTAGTTTTATATATATATTATATAATTTATTACATATAAAATCTAGGTAGACAGTGGAAGCAGAAAGCATAGGTCCTAAGAAGCTACCCTCTGTGGAGGGCGCTATATAAGTGCAAGTTGTTGTTTTATTGTGAACAGTCAGTCGGAGACTAGCTGTGCGATCTAATGAATATTGGAATACATCATCTTGCTGAGATCTATATTATCGATAAACTGATTCAATGCCACTTACATACAGCATACAAAGTAGATTCAAGTGCTTTCTTTGTGTTTAATATAGAAGCGGTGGCAGTTTGTGGCAGGACATAGTATCATAAAATTATACAGCACAGAAGGAGGCCATTCAGTCCCTCTTCTCTGTGTTGGCTCTTTGAAAAAAGCTATCCAATTCAATCCCACTCTCTCCCCATAACCCTGCAAACTTGTCCTCCCCAAATAATTATCTACTCTCTTAAAAGTTGTTATCGAATCGGCTTCCACCACCCATTCAGGCAATGCATTCCAGATCCAAACAACTTGCTGTGTGAAAACATTTTTCCTCAACTATCCTCTGTTTTACCAACTATTTTAAATCGGTGTCCTCGGGTTACCAATGGAAATAGTTTCTTCTTGTTCACCTTATCGAATCCCCTCATAATTTTGAACACTTCTATTAAATTTCCTCTTAATCCTCAGCTACAAGGAGAATAATCCTAGCTTCTCCAGTCTCTACTGGTAACTGAAGACCCTCATTTGTATATAAAGGCTTTGTATATAAAGGCATTGTATACTTGAGCGCAACTGCAGATCAGCTTATTCTAGAGTTTAAAGATGCAATGTTAATACAACCAATGCTCAGTGGGTACCTGAACCGTACAGACCAGGAAATTTCCAGGTTTCAATTGCCAAGCTGATCTCAGCAGTAGTGGAGCATTTGGCCTTTATGCCCCTAGCCTGTGTAAAAAGAGAAAGATGGCTGGGATGTTCTTCATGGTCAAACAGCACAGCATAATTATCTGGTTTCACAAGTGAAAAACTGGGCCTTGGGCAGGGGACTTGGTTACTAAGTGCAACTGCATGAGCTTTCAGTAGTGGAGGGGCGGGCATGTAATTTAAAAATATATATAATTCTGATTGTTCCTATCTTTTTCTCTTTGTGGAGTGACTTAGTCTTTTTTNGTGCAAACTTAACATTTCATACATTTTGCAAAACGATGGATAAAGTATCAGGATAACTCATTCAATATAATGGTATAACACTTGCTGAGATTCTTTTGGGAGCTAGGCTCCTGTTCTGCATCATGCCTTCCTGATCTTATCTACTTCTCATATTTCTCTTGCCAAACAATGCCTTTCAGGATAAAACAATTATCTCTGAAACAACCAAAAAGAAAGAGAGAGAGCATGTAGCCAAGGAGATAGAAAAACTTCGGACATCAATCCAGACATTGTGCCGCAGCGCTTTGCCACTTGGTAAAATAATGGACTACATCCAGGAAGACATGGATTCCATGCAGAATGAATTAACTGTGTGGCGCAAGGAGAACAAGGAACACGCAGCATCCCTCCTGAGAGAACAAAGGTAAGAGCTATAACAACAACAACAAGATTCCATTTATAGAGCGCCTTTCACGTCAGGAGGACGTCCCAAGGCGCTGCACAGTTGGGTCATGACCCGAGCAGGGGGGAAATGGTCAGGGTGAGGGGAGGGAAGGGAGGGAGAGAGGAGGGGGAAATGGTCAGGGTGAGGGGAGGGAAGGGAGGGAGCGAGGAGGAGGAAGAGAGTCGAGAGGGGAGCTGAAGGCACGGTCAAAGAGAAAGGTTTTGAGACCGGCCTTGAAGGAGGAAAGGGAGGAAGCAAGGCGAAGGCACTGGGGGATGGAGTTCCAGAGCCTCGGGGCTGAGAGGCTGAAGGCCCGACCACCGATAGTAGGGCGGTTGGGGCGGGGGACGTGGAGCAGACCGGAGCCAGAGGAACGGAGGGTACGGGCAGGTAGGTAGGGGGATAGTAGGTTGGAGAGGTAGGAGGGAGCAAGGCCGTGAATGGCCTTGTAGGTGAGGATGAGGATCTTGAAATCAATCCTCTGGGGGATGGGGAGCCAGTGGAGGCGAGCGAGGGTGGGAGTGATGTGGTCCCGAAGCCTGGTGCGGGACAGTACACGAGCTGCAGAGTTCTGAATGACCTGCAGCTTGTGGAGGGAGGTGCCGGGAAGGCCGGCGAGGAGAGAGTTCCCATAGTCCAGCCTTGAGGTGACAAAGGCGTGAACCAGGGTTTCAGCAGCGTGAGGGGTGAGGTAGTGCCGTAATCTGGCGATATTCCGGAGGTGATGGAAGGCGGTGCCAGTTGTGGTGCGGATGTGAGGGAGAAAGGACAGCTCAGGGTCGAACAAAACGCCGAGGTTCCTGACTGGCTTTGAGAGGTGGAGAGTGCAGCCTTGGATGCTGATGGTGTCAGCGCCTGAGGTGCGGAGGCGCTGACGTGAGCCAATCAGGAGGGCCTCGGTTTTTCGCACGTTGAGCTGAAGAAAGTTGTCTCTCGTCCAGGACTCGATGTCGGACAGGCAGGCTGTCAGGACATCGGTGGTCGTGGAGTTGAGAGTAGAGGAGGAAAGGTAGAGTTGGGTGTCATCCGCATACATGTGGAAGTTAACCCCATGTTTGCGGATGATGTCACCGAGGGGGAGCATATAGAGGGTGAAGAGGAGGGGACCGAGGACAGAGCCCTGAGGGACACCACATGAGACAGTACGGGGGGTGGAGGAGAAGCCATTCGTTGAGACGAAGTGAAGACGGTGGGAAAGGTAAGAGCTAAACCATTCAAGGACAGTGCCTTGAAGGTTGAGGTGGGAGGACAAGCGGTGGAGTAGGATAGCGTGGTCGACCGTATCGAATGCTGCCGATAGGTCGAGGAGGACGAGGAGACAGAGGGAGCCCTGGTCACAGATAGTCAGGATATCATTGGTGACCTTGACCAGGGCAGTTTCTGTGCTATGAGCAGCACGGAAACCTGACTGAAGGGGTTCAAAAAGAGAATGGGTGGAGAGGAAAGAGCGCAGTTGGGAGGCGACAACTCTTTCCAAGACCTTGGAGAGAAAGGGGAGGTTGGAGATGGGCCGGTAGCTTGATAGCTGCGACGCATCAAGGGAGGGTTTTTTCAGGGTGGGCGTGATGATGGCAGTTTTTAGTGGAATGGGGACAGAGCCAGAGGAGAGGGACAGGTTTATGATGTCAGTGATGATAAGGGTGTGTATGAGACAATGTGTGGGCAAATGTTCAGCTGAACACTTGGTGTTCGTGGGTGGAAAGGCCCCTAGAGGGTGCTCTCTCACAATTAAAGAGATTCCTTTCTGCTGATCTTGAATATTTCAAAACCTATTCTCACAATGTTCATGGTGGCTGAGAGAGCTTGGTTTAAACAAGATTCCACACTGACTCTGTGAGGTGAAGTGAGCATCCATGCAGGTCAATGGTCATCGCCTGAAGTGAGAAGTTGTTGACCGGAACCAAGCAGGCTAGCGTCGATCTTGTTGTCGAGCTGAAGAAAGTTAGAGCTCATCCTTGAATTAGTCTTGGGAGGCAATATATCAGAATAGCACTGGTCCTGGAATTGAGGGCAGAGGCAGAGATTAGAGTTGGTTATCATCCACATCCATGTGAAAATGGTCCTCATACTACAGACGATGTCGCTAAATATGGAAGCAAAGTGAAAAGGAGAGGACCAAGGATAGCCCCGAGGAGCAGAGGAGAAAGGGATGGAGTCGTCGACAGTGTTGAAGGTGGCAGTGTTCAAGAAGAACAAGGAGACAGATGGAGAGTGAGAATTGTTGGTGACTTTAACCAGGGCAGACTCACTGCTGTGGATGGGGCAGAAATTGGAATGGAAGGAATGCTGGGAGAGAAAGGAGCAAAACTAGGATGTAACATATCGTTCCAGCACCTTGGAGAGGAAGCGGTTTGGAGATTGGTTGGTTCAATATTTACATGCTCCCTCTTGGTAACATCTGCAGACATGGGGTCAATTTCCACATGTTTGCAGATGACACCCAACTCTATCTCTCTTCCTCCCTTGACTCCAGGACCACAGCTGTGCTGACAGAATGTCTGTCAGACATCAAGTCCTGGATGAGAGCAAACTTTCTTCAGTTGAACGTCAACAAGACTGAGGCTCTCCTGATTGGTTCCCGTCAGCGTCTCCTCACCTCAGGCGCTGACAGCTTCACCATCCTTGGTTGCACACTCCACCTTACTAAGCCAGTCCGGAACATTGGGGTCTACTATCCTCTCTACCCCACATCTGCACCATGACACGCTCTGCCTTTCCCCCACCTCCGGAATATCGCCTGGCTCCGACGCTGTCTCACACCGCAGGGCGCTGAAACCCTCATAAACGCTTTCATTACATCGAGGTTCGATTATGCAAACTCACTGCTTGTCGGTCTCCCCAACTCCTCCCTCCACAGGCTGCAGATCATCCAGAACTCTGCAGCCGGTGTCCTCTCCCGCACTAGGCTCCGCGACCCTATCACCCCCATCCTTGCTCAACACCACTGGCTTCCCATCATACAGAGGATACAGTTCAAGATCCTTGTCCTCACCTTCAAAGCTTTCCACAGTCTTGCTCCCCCCTACCTCTCTGACCTCCTAACCCCCTACCACCCTGTTCGCTCCCTCCCCTCAGCAGGCTCCAGCCTGCTTCATGCCCCTGCCTTGCTCGCCCCACTATCAGCGGGTGGGCCTTCCACCACTCTGCACCCACCCTCTGGAATTCCATCCAACAGTCCCTCCATTTCGCCCCCTTCTTCGCCACCTTCAAGACCCTCCTCTTCGACCGTGCTTTGAATCTTCCTGCTTCCCCCCCTGCCCTTCCCCCTCCCCTACCCCGACCCTCAGCTCGGGCCCGTAACTCTGTCTGTCCGGCGCCTTGTGAAAAGCACTATACAAATGTAGTTTTGTTGTTGTTGCTCCCTCCTACCTCTGCAACCTCCCAACCCCCACCAACCTGCCCGCTCTCTCCGCTCAGCGGGCTCCGGCCTGCTTCACATCCCCCGCCTTGCCTGCCCCACCATTTGAGTACATGACTTCTGCCACTCTGCTCCCACCTTCTGGAATGCCATCCCGCAGTCCTTCCACCTCGCCCCTTCCCTTGTCTTCTTCAAGACCCATCTCAAGATCCTCAAGACAAATGTAGTGTTGTTGATGTTTACAAACCCCTTCATGTAGGGTGTCTCAGAGCACTTTTTAGCACGTTCGGCAGGTGGAGACCAAGGAAAGGTTGTGGGGGGTGGTGATGGTTTTGAAAGTGGGAGAGGTTGCTGCCAGCTAGCAGGAGCATGAGGAGGAGAAGCTGGTGGAGCACTGTGTGGTTAAGGGAGCAAGGGTCAAGATGTGGAAAGCTAATTTGGTTGAGGCAGGGGCGCTATAGTTGACTTTGGTGAGGTCCAGCCACATATGGCGATGTACTGAGGCCAAGCTTTAGCCACATGTGTTCAGTAGCATGGGCCTCAGACTTCAGGGAATGGAAATGGCTATGGCACCACAGGGCACTGCAAGGCTAAAGGCATTTTAGGCTGTGGTAGGGGTGAGGGTATTGAGGATGACAGTGAGGGAGTTGCGCAGAAAAACGAAGAAGGCAAACTTGAGGCAGCTGGAAGGGCAGAGTTCAGAAAACTTGTTGGCAGTTGCAAGGGAATCGTTTATTTATTATTTATTTAAATAAATATTTAGTCGGAGGAACGAATGACGGAAAGTGACACCAAAAACCCACACATGGGTGCCAAATGGACCTGATTTCCTTGTTACTCTTGTCTGTGCATATAACATAATATCGCCACCACTATCCCCCAGCCCTATCACCTGAGTTCTCTCTGCAACCTTTGGATGGGAAACAAAATAGATTTGTTAGGTTTGTTGCAAACCATTGCTTACACTAACAGCCCCGAAAGCTATTTTAAAATGCAGTTTACATCTCCATAACTTTATGTATTCCTTTCCATTGAGAATGCTATTTGATTCATTCTCAGGAACTGTTCTTTTCCAATCCTGCACTTATTGCTATTTCTTGTTTGCACAGCATCACAGACACTGCTGTGGAGCCACTGAAAGTGGAACTAACGGAATTGGAGCAACTGATCAAGGACCAGCAAGACAAGATCTGTGCTGCCAAAGCAAACATACTGAAAAATGAGGAAAAGATCCAGAAGATGATTTCAAGCATTAACTTCTCAAGAACGTGAGTGAGAAGACAGGGATTGCTCTCTCACTCACTTCACCCGGAGATCCATTACTCGGGTAGTGAGGTGAGCAAATTAAGGAAGAGGAAGCTTGCAAGAGAGCAGACAAGTAATATGGCGAGGGAGTGGGTGGTGGGAGGGGGGAGAAAGCTAAAATTAATTTATGTTCCTATCTTGCAATCAGTTCCATGTAAACACTTAAAAAGCTTCTATTGAGAGCACAGGATTCAGTATTCTAAATAAAAGCACTGTTTGTAAAAAAAAACTGCAGGATAAGTAGGATTTTTATCTGCTGTTTTTTAATTTTTCTTCCTATCATCAGTGATTTTTCCTCATCAAAGCAGGGTGAGCTCAAAATGAACGATTTTCTTACAGCAGACACTGATAAAGTGAGTAACTCACCAATGATCAGGGATTCATTCCTTTGGGTTTGCCTGAAGCTGTTAAATGAGCTTCTGTTCTCATTCCACTCATTAAATTCCCTGACTTCTACTTTGCTAATAGTCTGATATGCCAGAAAAATCATAAAGTTTATATACAACACTGTTTTTGTTCGGTTAGATCTTTTGTTTCATTTTTTTATTAGTCACATAAGGTTGTAAATTTTGCAGTAATTCACAGCTCAGAAGCACCACTACAGTAAAATCCTGATAACCCTGGCTTAACTTGTCACTACCATTTAAACCATTATGCTGTCAATACCCCGACAGCATTTATTCATGTATTTATACATAGGTCTAACTCTCCACTTTGGATAATTCATTACTGAGCCCTTTTCCCTTAGCATATGAGTTATCAGCAGTTTACCATAATACCTCAGCAGATCTTGTGCCACAGGGTAAAAGCTTTTTCAGCTTCAATATCAGCAATCATACTGATGAAAAGTGGTGAAATTTAGCAAACTGAAGGGATTAACGTCATCTTGATTTGGAGAGTTCATACCATAGGAACAGGAAAAAACATGTAGTTCATTGAGCATGCTCTAACTTATTAAATCTTGGCAGTTCATCATTGTAGTTCAAGTGTCCTCTCTCCTGCTGTGAGCTAGCCCTCATGTTCTAACACACCTATGAATCAGAATCCAGATTGTTGCCAATCTGTGTTACCAGTAACAACAACAACAACAAAATTACATTTGTGAAGGGCCTTTCACATTGGGAGGGCATCCCAAGGCACTGAACAGTCAGGGATCATGACCCTAGTGAGGGAGGCGTGGGATGAGGGAGGTGTGGGATGAGAGAGGCTGAGTGTTCATGGTTGCTGCTGGTGAGTTATAAATGTAACCAGGACCACAATGGAGGCTTTGAATTGATCTACATTGTGATGCAACAATTCAGGCAAACACTCTTAGGATTCAACTGAAAAGGGCAGTAAATTCATATGTGTATTAATGAATTATCTTACCAAAGTGGATGAAACAATTGTTCATTTATTCTATCTTGAGCTGTATAACATCAGGCCTGAATTGGTAAAACATTGAGAATTCTATGTGACTGAACGTTAGTCTAAGACAACCACTCAGTAATCTTAAAGATCGCAGGGTCACACTGTAGTCCTTCAATCTAATTCTTTAGAAGCGGTAAGTTTAGTCCTATTTGCTTCTTATGCAGTAAGGAAAACATAACTTCTGCTGGGATGCATGTTATAGGAAGGGAAAGGGTGTTTAATCCCAGTATTAGACGATAATTGTTGATAATCTTGGACCTTGTTTTTCAAATTAAAAGAAAAAGTAACTATCCCACGTAATCTTATCATTATTAGTTATTTATTGTCTCTGGAGAACCATTGTTCATACATGTTGTAAGCCTACAAGTTCTATGTTGCCCAGCATTTGACAACTGTCAATAATTGAGTTTAAAGCACTCTACTAATAATTGATTGAACATTTGTGCTATAATAGTCCTTACTCCCATTTACATATTCCGTATTACAAGTTAAGGTTTAATTGGATAAGGTTCTATAATAATTAATACTTTTGTTTCAAAGATAACTCCAGAAGTGTTATTGCAACTTTCCAAAGACAGCAAGGAAAATTAATACATTTGTCAATTAAAATGTTCTACAGCTCTCAAGGAATCCTAATCTTTTAAGTAAGAGTAAAAAAAAATATTTATCTCCCCCCTTCCCCCATAGAGAACCACTTTGAAATCTGCCTAGTCACCTACAAATGCCATTTAAAAAGTAGAATATTTTTTTCTCAAAAATAGATAATTGACATATGCTTTTCATCCTATTTGGAAAGGTGAATATGTTTTAACAAAGCTGCCTTACTTTGAGGTGTGTGTGTATGTATTAAATATGTGCATTCCTGTGGCAGTACTAAGTACATTCTGCTCAACAGAGCAAACATCTAGTCACTCCAGTGCTCCCAGAATTGTGCACATGATCTAAAGGGAGGGCAGCTCACAGTCTTGACAGTGTCCAAACTTCCAATCATATTTTAGTCTTTAGACTGAACATATTTTGTGTGTTCTTAAATATTTACTTGAAGGAGCAACCTTTCAGAGCAGTTTGAACCATTTCTGAGAATGTTGACAAATTAAAATCTATTGATCGTCTGGTATATGATTGATGGTGATGACTAGCACAAATTCCCAACAGACTAGGATTCAAATCAGCATCTATACTCACTACACCATTAGAACTGCCCGCCCGAATTGTGAAACTTAAGTTGTATAATCATTTATCGCTTGTGGTTGGAGTATAATTGTCAATTGACTATATGGTATAATTATTTCCTAAAACAAATGTGTTTAATTGTCAGTATTTTCCTACTGAGCATCTCTTATGTATATTCTCACTGCTCTGTCTGTCTGTCTGCCCCTGCTGTCCATCTCTGCTTTTTGCCCACGCTGTGTCCTCTGCTTTTCCTCCTCCCACTGTCTGTCTGTCTCAATCTCTCTCTCTCTACACCTTTTCTTCCCTGCTGTTTCTTGTCCTCGTCCTTTTTAAGAATATTTAGAATTGTGGTAGACGCTCAACAGCTTGATTTAAGATGTAGTAATTCTTTATCGGGCCTCTTTAATTTAGCTTCATCAAACTTGATGACTGGCATTAAACATCAAGGGATCCTTCTGGATCCAAGTACACCACTGCAGTAATTATAGAGAATAATTTAAAAACTACTGAACTCAAAAATTCTAATTGTTTGTAAATTGATTGTAATCACAAGTTTGAACATGTTACAAAGCACCGAGTATGTAAAGTTTGTGATACAATCAGTAAAATTGCATTATCAGCATTTAGAATATTTTAAAGTAGTTTAAATTTTTTTTCTACATTATTTTTATGCAAATGAAGGGTCCAACCTATCCTTCGAATTTTTTCAATGGTCAGTACCAATGGATTTGAGAGCATAGGTTTTCAAATTGGCCCACTTCAAATCTGAGCTGTGGTCGGGAAAATGGTGGCATTGGTATTTGATGCTGCACTTGCTGAGCTGGCTCCAAGGTAATGTTTTTGACAACAGAATGTTGGAATTGAGTCAGTGTGGTGGACTTTGAAGTCTGGGTCCTGAGCCAGCTGGGTCTGCAGTACTACAGGACACTAATGACTCTAGTCATCAAGACTTTGAGGAACAGACCAGACCAGTGCTGGAGCCAGAGATATTTCCCACTCAAGCTAAAGTCCCAACAAGTAGGATGCTGTTAACTAGACAAGTAGGAGGAAGCTTGATAGACAGTGCTTTCAATAACAAGCTATGCGATTTTAGCGACTTAAACTCTCGCACATATGCCTTGGGTCTTGCCAACCGGCACCTAATACTCTCTGGAATTAGGTAAGCAGGATGCTTCTATTTGGGGAGAGACTGTACATTTCCATTTGAGATGCTGTAATCTCCATGTGTAGGTGGCGTGCATGGAACTGTCTGCTTTTGATACTCTTCAGCACGGCAATGGGTTTCCACATATGTCAGACACCCAGGTAGCTCTCTCCTTCCTTTTCCCCCTCGCGCCTAACAAAGTATTTCCCATCCCCCCACATGTAACATTCACTTCTCGGTTTATTTCCTACGCTATTTAACTGTGGTTTAAGCTTATCTTAATCAATACTGCTTTATGGTCAAGTCTTTTCTTCTGATGAACTGGCTCTTAGAAATTCCTTTGCAACCAAATACTTGCAACCAACCATAAGACTCATTGAACAGAAAATTAAACATCTCACCAAGTGGTCTAATTCATAGCCCTGAACACCGGAATATTCCACATCTGATTGTCTAAATGTGAATTGATAATAGTGACAATCTGTTATCTAGCAACTTTGAACTGGAACATTATAAATTGATTCCATATACATTTAAGAGATAAGATTGAATAATACATTACCTATGGTTCAGTTGTTGTACAGGCTGACATAAGCAAATCCTGCAGTGCTGACTTTGTGTCCAGCATTCATTCTCCTTTGGTTTGGTAGTGATTCTAGTTTGCAGTAACGTGACCTTGAATCAATCACAGACTTCATGAGAGTATTTTAAATAAAAACTCTGTATAGAGCTTTAAGTGTTCAATAAATTGTTACCATCGCTATTGTATATTTTTGTATATTTTGGACACTGTATGATAGTTGGGGTGGGGGAAACAATTTTGTAGTGGAATAAAATAATAAAATGTGCAGCTTTGCCCCTGGTTGCTCCCTCTGTTTATTAAGTATTCACTAAACAATTTCAGGGTTCATCATAGGGGCATAAATTGATCTTGGAAAACACTTCTCTGACTTGGTTCTCTCTGACCCTGTCTTGAGCAACTATAAAACTGGAATATTGAGGTATTGTCATGTTGTGAAAAAGTAAGTAATGTATCTAAGGTGAAAATCAGGCTCGATTCCTAACCAATTAAGACATTTCATTCCAAAACCACATTTCCCATGGTACATGCTAAATGCCACTCCAGCACAGCTCCTAGATATATCTAGGGGAAGTAGAAGGGGTCTTTCTCCTATTGCCTACCTTCACTGAGGCAGATAAATGGTTCTTCTCTTCCCTGTTACCAATGACCATCTGAGGTGGCCCAGAATTGTATCCCTAACATTTCCCAAGTGTTGAGGGAGGATATTGGAAAAGCAAAACTTGCAATTGCATGTTTTACAGCTAACAGAATTTCAGTGTGCAAAAATCCAATAGTGTTGCTTAAAATTTCTGACTTCTATTTAGAAAAGACAGTGAGTGCTTAAAAAGGAATGGTGGTAGAGGAGAGAAGAAAACTTTCCTTTGTCGTACACCATCTTCTAACAGCCAGCAGAAGGTGCTGTGACCTTTCTACTTGGACT